CTAAACCCCCCCCCCCCTTTTTTTTTTTTGGCATGAGGAAAAGATTACAATACACTGTGCGGTCTCTGAGGGGCATGCATGAAGCAAGACATCTTATGAAGGCAGGAACAATTGGCTCCTAATCCTTCTTGAGTAAAAGGATGAATTTGGGTAGGGCAAACATATGGGAGTTGAATTATTTTACTCCTACATGAAACTTGTACAACTGCGAAGCTAGAATTGAACGCTTGCTAGATCACATATGATTAGTTGTCAGTAGACCTGCCAGAATCTTAATACCTCATTTAAAAGGTAATTATGAATCAGTATTTGTTGATATTATCAATCTAACATGTATATTTCTTTGAAAGAAACAAAACCAGAAACTTTCAATTTTAAGCAGTTCATAGCCGTAGCTTGTAGAGAATAGATAGTTAACTTTTTACTGAGGATATATATTAATCTTTGACAGGATATTGTACATTTTGGTGAACTAGACACTCAACCAGGGAATGGAAACTCGAGGGGGATGTTTTCTTGTATAGTCATACATTTGGAGTTAATTTTAGCTAAGTAAAATAGATTTTAAAACTACCAAAAATTTAATGGATTGAGGGTGCCATCTCGTGGTTGAGGAACTAAATTTATAATTGAAAACCAAAAATGCCTATTTGAACATTTGTGGAGGAGGGTATAATACTTTTATTATTGAAAAATATTAATCATAATCAGATCTTCTGTAATGGACTACTCTTTTTCTTAGCTCCTATAGACAAGTTAGGTACTCAGGCAAATATCTATAATCTTCAAAATGTTTTGCATCAGCTTAAATGTAAACGATTGCAAGTATGTACTTATTTTTCACTTGCTTGTTTTGTTCTGGAATAATATATACAACATATCATTTGTCTTCGGAGAAGACCACTGCTTCAATAACCTTCTCTGCCCTGAGCAAGATATCATGATATACTTTCATTATGGAAACGCTAGTTTTCCTCTTGTTATTACTTTGACAGATTTGAAAGATTAAGAAGTAGATCTTTGTGGCATAGGTCTGCCTGAAAAGCAGATTTCAAGGAAAAAGGGGGGTTTACTACTTTCTGGTGCTGTTTATTTCTTTAACAATACTATTTTTTTTTTCTTTATACAGATTATTTAAAGAATCTTTTAGAAGAATCTGCAGACTATAGGGATACTCAAGGTAAATGTCTCTTTAGATTAAAGAAATAACAGCTTATGTACATATAATGTTTCTAAGTTTTAAATGCGTGCAAAATTCTAAGCCAGTAATAGAAATGTTTTCTATTTACTTCTATGTTTCTCAGCAGAGATACTGAAAGATTGCAGACTTGTGTTTCAAAAAAGTTTGGAGCTGACAGTGGTATCAGCTCACCCTTGAGTTGAAACCAAAAGATAAGAGTGAAGTTCCACAGGCAGCTTAAGCAGATATTTTTGGGCACTGCTATTGAAAGAGAGAGTCCTTGCATCTGTAGACCTTTCATGATAGGCAGTCTGGTCTACCAGCTGCTCTCCCCCAACTATGAGCCTTTCTGGCCTCCTCGTCTCTCTTTGTGCCAGGACAAGTGTTCATGTGGCAGGAGTGAACAAGATCAAGGAGCTGCTCTGGGTTATATTTAACCTGAGGAGTTCTTCAGTTTGACTTGTCACAAGTTGCACAAGCACGAGTGACTTCCACAAGTTTGCCTGCATGTGGGGGGAAAGGAGATAAGAGGAAATGAGAAGGAATAGTTGGTGATGGAAGAGGACAGGACTACATGTTTCATGGTAGTTTGGGATTAAGCTGGTTTAACTTGAGTGTAGCAATGCAGTGCACATTCAGACTGTTTTCTTCTTCCATGTGTGTGCCTCAGCAGTACTAAAAATGCTCCCAGTCGATGTTTCCATTTCATTTGCATGAGCCCCTGTGACTTATTTCAGTCTCTTCAGTGGCATTTGTACAAGCCCATTATCTTTAGGAGAGTTGTGCAGATGTACTTGATTGGACTGCAATAAATGAGTGCCTTCAATGCACTGAGCCAAGTTTGTTTTCTTACAGCTTTGTCTGCTGATACAGTACTCTGAAATTTATGAGTAAATATCTTAGGACATTTAGACATATTTGTTTGAGTACATTGAAAATATAAACAAAAATATTTTGAATTATGACTCTTTAAGAGATAGAAAAGTTTGTCTTGCGCTTCTTATGGCTGTGAACAAACTAATATTTGTACTGCACATTAAATAATTGACCACTTGAAAAGTGAGCAACTTAAATGTATATTTTACTTTACATTTTCTTGTGATTTCTCCAGCTTCTGTGTTTTTTGTAGTTGTACCTTCCACAGTATTTTCCTCTCCCTTCATACATCAAAGATAAAAGCAGAAGCTTAGTTGTAACAATAACAGTGTTAATTTTATTCATTTGACATGTTTGATAGTCTATCTTTGAAACTGGGTAAGAAAAGAAAATCTAATATTTACTCACCAAGATCTTTCTTGTGATAATTAAGCTTAACTTAGTTCTGGCTTTGCTTAGTTGTTAAATTCTGTTGCGGGGGGGGAGGGGGGAAGACTAGGTTTGGTTATGGTTAGTATTCTCAGGGGAAAAAAAAATTCCAAACGCCACAGTGATTCCTGATGACCTTCATTTGAATACATTACTCCAGCTAAGTGTTATAAGAATTGGAATGCTCTTCCCTGCCAAAAACCACTTTGTTTATGGACTTTGACCCTATAGATTATTTTATGTTGTTGTTTAGATTTGTTTAGTCTTGGCTCTATAAGTAGCCCTGCGATCCTGGAACTTTCCCTTCCATAACCAGCAAATTTTCTCCAACATTCTTCAATCTTTCTTGAAGTCGATGAGTAAGATTTTAAGTTTTTAAATAGATATAATAGCTGATAAGATGAAGGAAAGTATAACAAAAAATTCAGGTACTCATTCCTGTCATCATGAATTCAGCTAAATTTCCCTTTATTTTCTTTCAAGCAGATGGGAGTTGGGGAGTGTTTTAGCTGGAGCAGATCCAACATTTCCTAGTAGGAGACCACCAGCTATTTTTCAGCCGGCTCAGTTGACATCATGACATCTATATCTAAACTTGAATTTTGATCAAATGCTTGATATGTTTTGACTGGAGCAGCTCCAACACTTCCTAGTAGGAGACCACCAGCTATTTTTCAGCAGACTCAGCTGACATCATGACATCTATATCTAAACTTAAATTTTTATCAAATGCTTGATATGTGCTATGCCTTTTAACTGTTTGACTCCTGTGCTTGCATTGCCTTGGTTCATGAAAATCTTGAACAAAAATTCTCCTTAGATTGACTTAGGAGGAGCTTTTTGTTCGCACCTCAGTTTAGTTTCTTATATGGCTTCATGACCTTCTGAACCTTTCAGTTCAGAAGGCCGTATCCTTTAACATGCTTTCTTTCTGAATATGAACTCAACAATAAGGGAAGTATATACATTCTACAGTAATACGCTAATGATTATCTGGAAAAAAAACCCAAGGCTTTGGTTTTACCTGGTTTGGTAGGCTTCTCTGTGGACTTTTAAGCAAATGTAGTTCCTTTATTTGAAGTGCCTGACTACTGCACCTCTATTACTCAGAAGGTGCTAAATGCTTTAGAGACTACATTTTATGAGAGCATTTGTTCTAGCTTTCAGTTAAATGAGTCTTTTTTTTTTTTTTTTCCTACTTAAGTAAATTACAGATTTTTTGGATAAGAACCTTGGATGGGTTCTGTCTCATATACACTCACTGTTCAGTAATTTACATAATCCTTTTATGTAACCCATTTTTGCAGTTACACCTTAGCATATATTGCAGTTGAGTTGCTAGCTATTAAATATCAGTACTTAATAAAATCCCTCGTCTTTGGTAATTCTTCTCTTTCAGAGACTTTTTTTTTCCTTCTGCTATTAAAGGTTTGAAATTTAGAAATTTGAACTTTATACCGTTATCTTGAGGTGCAGCAAAACTAAAGGCAGAAGAAAGAAATCGCAAAGATTTGCATAATTTTTCTAGGTAGTCTTCCATGACTGGCACTGGAGGCAGTTGTGTAAAATGGAAAAAACTTAATCTCTACAAAAATATTGTTAACTTTTCTGCTGTAAGTAGAGACATTGAAATTGAAGTAATTCTTTGTGTGAGAAACTAGAATTTAATTTTGCTTGCGGACTGTTTTGATTAGCTGTAAGAAATGATTGACACTGTTGGTTGAAGCAATGACTTGCTAGGGCACACTTATTAAACTATGATCCAAAGACTGTGGGATCTATGGGAAGTGCCCCTGAATGCAGTGACTGTACAATCAGATCCTTGAATCTTGGCGGGATGTGGAAGGGCAATATCGTACCTGTGCTTTACATAATACCAATGCTATCTAGTCTGTATAACCAAAGCATCATTTCTTCATCCTTCAGATGCTCTAGCTGTTGTCATAGAAGTTGCAAACCATGCCAATGACATCATGAAGCAGGGAGTAAGTATTTTGACTTACGCAGCTGGTTTATTAAAGCTTTTTTCTTTTTTCTTTTTTTTTTTTTTGAAAGTCATGGATGCAAGGGCAATTACTTACTTACCTTTTGCTTTTTCTCCCTGTAGGATAACTTTCAGAAACTCATGCAGATTCAGTACAGTTTAAATGGACACCATGAGATTGTACAGCCAGGAAGGGTAGGTTCTCCAGATGGCATTCAGCAGATTGCAGTAAAAGTGCAGCACAGATGATATGCAAGCAAAGTATTGAAGCTGGCATATACCGAGAAGCAAAATGGTCCATCGTTTAATTACTCGGTTCTAACAGCCAAATGAATACTGCCTCTCCGTATGTGTGTGGGGTGTTTTTTTAGACGTTTATCCGATGAAAACTTACAATTTTTAGAATATGATTCCTTGCCAGATCTTGCAGGCAGGTTTTTTTCCTCAAGCTTAACCTTGTATTTGTCATGGTTTCAAGTGCAGGGTGGAAAACTGTAATGCAGCCATTCACACTCACTTTTAGAGAAACCTAAGGATGAACAGCCTTTCTCAGAAAGAGAACCTTGAATCCCAAAACTTCTGCAGCACTTCTAGTGTAGTAGTAATAATAATAATAAGCATAATAATAATAATGGCGATGAAAAAGTCAGCTCATTTGTATGGCTTGTGCCCTGAAAAGTTAGGTTTTTGAATTGCTTGTTTTAATTTGCTAGGTCTTTCTGAAAGAGGGAACGCTGATGAAGCTGTCCCGGAAGGTCATGCAGCCACGAATGTTTTTTCTGGTAAGATGCTGCATATGTTGCTGTGTGCCTAACACTAGTGTAATTTTAAGTGGTTAAAATATTACACCGCAAACATAAGTAACTAATAACTTCAGGTAGTGGAAAAAATGACCAGTTGTTGCTGTTCTGCTTGCTCAGTTCTAACTTAGATCATCTGTTGCATATGCACTCATTTTAACGGAAAACCATTTCTCACTAAAATGTACTGTTTTGAACAATGCTCATTTAAAATTTGAGCGCTTTTATGAGAAGACGTTAACTGTGGTAGTGCGAAAACTAAAACAGTTGCTCCATCCCATTTAGCCATACCAGATCTTAAAACCTACAACTCTGCTGATGCTATTGCACCCTTCCCTCTCTCCCCTCCTCCTCCTCTCTCCTTCCCCTGCACGAGCCCGCTTGCATCCTGAGCGGAGCACTGGGCTGGAAGTTAAGTGCTGGGTTCTCTTCCTGTCTCTGCTACTGTTTTGTTACGAAACTTCTGTTCATCTCTGAAGTTTCCGTTTCCACTTGAACCTTTTGTTTATCTCTTCTATCTAGATAGTAAAGCAACTGTTGCCATGTGTAATTTGTGGCATTATTGGTCCACAGTTCTGGCTCAAATCTGTCTTGTAGTTACTGTAGTACGAATAAATATTTCCCTAGGCAGTCATGGAGTATGTATTCTAAGCTTGCAAGTGCCTGTCTTATGCTCTGAAGATGACTTTGTAGCATATAAAGCACCGAGATAACTGCAAATGATATCAGTTAAGGTAATACTCTCAAAAATCTGGTGCTATCTCAAGCTGGACTTCCCAAATCAGATGTTGCTAATTTGAGTGGCTCTAGCTCAGATTTTCTTTGTTCTGTTTTTTGGGGTGGTGGGGTTTTTTGGGTTTGTTTGGGGTTTTTTTTAGATATAAAAGGTGCAGGCTAGTGTTTGTACCTTTAGACACTTAAGCAGTGATTTTTCAGTTGATGGTGTTGTGAAGATTTAGTAAGGCTTGTGAAACATTTGGTTATTTTGCAAAGAACCTCATAGCAAAAACTTAAGAGTTCAGTTTTCTGGTCTGTGTTTATGTACGGTAAATGAAGTTGGGATCCACGTGTTGAACAACACAGAAAATAGAAAAAAAAAATCTTAATAGCTGTTCAGTTAATGCACTGAATGAAGCCAAGTCTGGTAGAACAGGAAATAAACAGTAGATGCACATTTAAACTGGTAAAATTCACATGGTACATATGGATAAGTTTGTCCTTACAATCATAAATTGCTGATCTTTATTCTGCTATCTCCAAGTTTCTGGAATGTTTTGCTTTGTTTGAATGGTTAATTTTAATATCCTTTTAAAGTAGTTTGTTATACAATATAGCTGTGTACATCTTTGACATCTGTGCACTGTTACTCATGTGCCAAATGTATATTTACACAAGGAGGCTATAAATAGACACCTGTTGTTATCTAAATTCATACATGAAAATGTTTCTTGGGCTCGAAGTGGAATAATAGGAAGTAGAAGATGCTCTTCTGGACAGTTGATCTCAGTGCTGTATGAGTTCTGTACTTCCAGTAAAATCCATCTGAAATTATCTGTCTCTAAACAGTCTTCAGTCATTAAAAAGCATTGCTTCTATATTACAGTTCAACGATGCCCTGTTGTATACTACTCCAGTTCAGTCAGGGATGTATAAACTCAACAACATGCTGTCGTTGGCTGGAATGAAGGTCAGTCACTTGTGAAAATGAGTCTTTCTCCAAATCTATTTAAACTCAGGCCTTCAAATTTTCAAAACGCAACTATGTTTATTGTTGGAAAGAGATATTAAAGATGCTTATGTTCCAGAGCAATCCTACAGGCTTAACGTTTCTTGCATAATATGGCCTGTGGGATTGCTATCTAGGTTTCCCTAAAAAACTCTGTTGCCACAGGATCATCTCACCTGCATTTTGTCCAGTATTGTCCTACTCTGAAATAGTCTGCCTACTTATTTTTTGTATTGTATTTTGTTTAGACTGCCTCACTTTTGCCTTGTAACTGCTTTTTATTGCCCACACCCAGAGATTAGGCATCTCTGCCTGATAAGCTTCTGGTGGATCAAATCTCCATGGTTTATAGAGATCTGCTAACTGAGGGAAAGTACGGCTTTTGTTTCTGAGCCTTCGTGAAAATCATCAAAGTTAAGCCCTGAGCCCCTCTGTCTGGGTAGTGATAACGGACATGCACGCCATATATTGACACACTCTCTGACATGACAGTTAGTGGGAACAACAAACCATCGCCTCGGGAATCAAGTAACTTGTCTCTGGTCCCGTAAGAGAAAAGCACCAAGTCCAGCTGCAGTGCAGATCCGGTGCCCAGGTCCAAGCTTTTGCAGGCAGAGCTGCAAAATCTCTTCTGCCAGCAGGTGTCTCGTGGTGTCTCAGAACCACTCTTAACTTTCAAACCTCCTTATGTTTGAAACTTGGTAGCTCAGAATGATCAACAGGGTGGTCCAGCCCTTGAGGGTATGGGGCAGATGCCCACTCTGGGGTACACCAGTAGGCTACATCTTGTCCTGCAGCAGCAGCAGTGCCTTTTTTTGCCCAGTTGCAGGAGGTGCTTAGAGGGCAACGGGCCTGGGCATATTGAAGCACAGCGGGAAGTGTTTGACAGCTCTTGAGCTTCACTTCCCTGTACGTCTCCAGTGTTTGTATGGGGCCACAGTGAAATAAAATGGTGGGCTGCATGTAATCTTAGTGTAGCTGGGCCCTCTGGACTGGTGTATGATCTCCTACTTTTGAGATTTTTCTCTCCAATGTAGCCCTTCTGCAATAACAATATAAGAGATTTTACAGTAAGTAAAACTAAAGCAACTATAAAAATACCGTCTTGGTTTGAATGTCAAGTTTTCTCTCTTGACTGAAGGTTAAAAAGCCAACCCAGGAAGCATATCAGAATGAACTGAACATTGAAAGCGTAGAGAGATCCTTCATTCTTTCAGCAAGGTAAGTCTTACAAATGAATGATGATTTGAAAACCATGTGATTTCAAGCAGGCCATGAAAGCTTTTTTTTATAGCTTATTTTGCACTTATGTAATGAAAAGTTACCCTTGGCTAGAGTAATTACAGAATAGAGGGAGTGACAGATGGGTTTCTGGAAATAAGGTAGGCTTAAATTTAATAAATTTGAATTTATTTTTAAATGGGCTGGCAGAAAGGAAGCCTGGTCACATGTAATAAGTTTCACAGATACTGTATGAATTTGTAGTCTCTAATACAGTTCACCGTGACTTGTAAGGAAGAGTGCCCATTGTGAAGTGATGGATAGAAGCACAAAAACTATAGTAAATGTGGCTGGTATTTGAGCAATTTGGGCTTAAGGCTGCAGCTGGTAGGGATTCTGCTGTCCTCAAGACTGTTAACTGTTAATCAGAGTGAATAAAACTCTTGCTTGGTTCCTCTTTTTCGGCTTAGCTACACCTTCAGAAACTTTAAGTAAATTGAAATATTATCCTCTCACTGCCTTTCCTTGAGAGGAACAAGAACTCAAATTGTTTCAATTCAATTAATTTTAAGCTTTGCTTTTCAGTATTTTTTTGTTCTTCCGAAGTTACTGATATGCTCTGTCAGTGCATTAACAGGACAGGATATGAAGCATGACAATACATTTTGATATTATTATTGGTAACCGATATAAATTGGAAGAAGTCATCCTGGTCTTCTAGCTAAAATAACAGTGTAGCTGAAACAAGAAATGGATCTCGGTGAACCTGAAATTATAGAAATGGCAGCAATTACTGGAATGGTGCTTGTCTTTACCAGAAAACCAAATTCTGCAAGTAGCAGCAAAACGATACCACTAAACCGGAGCAGCTCTGGTCTGCCTTCACCGAGATGCCTTTAGCAAAGACCTGGTTTTGTGGATTGTTGTTTTTACTGTGTTTGAGTTGGAGTTTTATATGTTCTGACATTTGTGACAGTGCTGATACCAATGAAGAAAGACGTGTTTTCTCTTTTGTTTAGCAAAGCTGAGCAAGGGCAGACTGCTTCTTTTTGTGTGATCTTGTAAATACCGACATGAGGATGTCTGCACAAAGATAACAGTATCTCTAGCTGAGGGGTAGACCAAGGTTAACCTTGTCAAAGTAGCCAAAGGAAGTAGCTCAATTGTCTGAGCAGTAGTTATTTATAACAACAGACTTGAAAAGGAGTATTTTTGTATTTTTTCAACAAATTTAAATGTTTCTTATTGTTCTTTTGCACATTGGGAAAAAAAGATGCATTTCACAGTTTAGGGTACAATTCTGCTCCGGTATAATATGAGCAGGTCCGTGCTGCTTGGGTGCCTTGGTGACTGGGTGTCACACAGATACATGAAGACATTTATGGGATTGCAGTAGGCAATGTGGATTTATCTCTGCTTCACTTGAAACAAGCATTTCACTTTTAATTCAGTTGTTTTAAAAAATTGTAAAAAATCACTGGAACTTGTGAAAAGATTATAATCTTTAAATACTACCTACCTATTTTCCACAAAACAGGATAGACTTTGTCTTTTTGAGGAACTGATTAAGTGGTAGATTAAAAGCAACTCCTGTGAAATACATGCTGGTCCGTAGGGGAAAACCCCTGTATATAACATTGTCACCAAGTTGGGCAGAGTTTGTGACATGCTTTTGTCTTGACCTTGAAATTACTGGAATTACCCTCACGTTACCAACTAAAGCTGCGCTGATTTGCTCTTTCTTTTTTAGTGTTGTTGATCTTGCGTCTTCGGAGAGCGTTCAGCTCCGTTATTTTTATACTTGCTGGAAGCTATGTGTGTGCAAGAGCCCTAAGTTACATAACAGTGAAAGAGGTTGCATTTGCTTGGGATGAAGGAGGTGCTGGGGGCCCCAGGTGTAAATGAGGATTTTCAGATTGTTATCTGTTTGTAAGAGAGGCCTGGGTCTGTTGTGGTGTAGGAGGGAAACAAGTGAAAAACTACCAGCAATAGGTGCTTGCATATATTTTTTCCCAATTAATTATGTTGTTCCTATTGATAAATATCCTGGATGTGAAGAGAATCAGTATCTTGTCAATACAGACTGCATCTTCCTTTTGATGATACCTCATTCCTAACAGCTTCTTGGCTCCTGTGTGGTAAAAATCTCAATTACAACACTGTTCAAATTAATCTTACAGACATTGGAGACAAATTTCACTTCTGTGTTTTTTTCAAATAATAAGCGTGATGTGGAGTGTACACTGAAGAAGAGATTCTGAAATGATCCTGGGGGCAGAGACAGGGAGGGGAGCAATTAAGCTGGTGAAAGATTGCTAGTAATAAAATGTAAACCAGTTAATAACTGAAGTATAGATTAATGCCCAGACAAGAGTCTTTGTCACTTCAGGTTTAGTTTTACTGACTCCATTAGTATTCTGCTTTATCTAGTCTGGGTTGAGGTTTCAGTTTTCCTGGGATATCTGTAGGAATGTGTATTGTTTTACATGGTACAATGCAGTATTGTACTAGAAATCTCTTAATCAGAGAAACAAGTTAGCACATCTGCATGATACAGCACTGTGCAGAAGTAAAGCTTTGGTCCTGAAAACAATAGTCGTGCCAGCCTGACGTGGTCTGAGGCCAGCTGGCCCCATCCCCCTCAATAAGGCTAGGGAAGAGCTACCCCAGGCAGACATAGCTGCATCGCCTCCCCTAACATAAGGATAGCTCAAGCAAGACTAGCTCAGCTGGGAGAGGTGCCCTAAGGCTCTGATCCTGGAAACTACAGGGTTGTACTTCTGTGAGCCCTTCTTACTGTGAGCTGCTTACTCCACTGGGCAGCTGCGACACGTGGTCCTAGCACACGGTTGCCAGTAATAACAATTGCTGGGGCTCCCTGCAGTCCATTTAAAAGTTCTCTGCTGTTTTGTTAAAGAAAATCTTAAATAAAAAAAGAAAACCCTAAGAAAACCTTGCAATTTTAGTAAACAAAACAGCTTTTGGAAGGATGGAACAAATAATGGACCTGCAGTGAGGGAGGTGGTAGGGCTGTGCAGCTGTAGGGGAGGGCTGGGAGTGACAGCAGAAGAAACACTGCCTATTTTGCTGCAGCAAACCATTACATCAGTTGAGTTGCCGATGGCACCGCCTTTGCTCTTAAGTTCTGAAGGATTGTAAACAACCCTAAAGGCTAGCACTAGCAAACCTACCAAGTGCAAGCTCCCCAGTGAAATATTAGGTGATAAGCCATGTAGCTCATTATGCAAGCAGCCCTATATGTAGCAGTCCCCACATGATGGGGGATGCTTAAATCTCCAAAAACTGGTCTGACTTTAAATTTAATTATTTAATATGGTTTTAGGAACCTAATTAAATGTAGCAGATTTTGAAAACGCCAAAGGATTTGATTAGAGTTATGAATGTTACGTAGCTAATGCAGACCAGTTGTTCTTACCAGATGAGGAAGCAAAGGTAAATAAACCGAACAAAATGTTCCACTCAGAGTGTGAGATATTGGGACAGACAATAAGACATTGCTTTGCCCTTGCTTGTATCTTATTTCCTCTCCTTTTGTTCTGATTTTGTTGCTGTATGCGCTAGATCGGTTTTTTCCCCTTGTGCCTCACAGGCTTCCCCCATGTTTACCTTACCAGATCTGTCCTCTCTGATTCTGTATAGTACTCAGTTTCATCTAGTTCAAAACCCCAGCTCAAAGTATTTTACTTAAAGGTTCAAAGATGATCAAAGCTTCCAAATTCACTTACAAAAGCCATTAAACAATAATTGGTGTTGCACACCTAATTTGTGTAAATCATTGCTTTCCTCATCCCTAACTTTCCTTTTAACGTATTCATCATGTTCAATTCCTTGGTTTAAACAAATTAATTTATTTGATACTATTTAAGAAGTGGGGAATAAAAAAAATATTGGTAGTAGATAGTGGTTTAAATTTTAGAAGCCCTTTTAAAGCTGGCATGGCATCTTAATCAAGCGGTCTAGCTGTTCTGCCACAAAACTGCCTCTTCCTTCCTCAGAGCACCCTCCATGGTGCTGGCACAAGTAGTTGTTCAGCTGTGTGATGAACCCAGTCGGTAAATTGATCCAGAGGAAGGGCAGGTCGATGGCTTGCTTTAATACAGAGTTGTTTCCCAGTCCAGCCCACTGCACTTACAGCTCGCTGTGTAGCCGTGCGTGTTCTGGCTTGAGGGAGAAAATAAGACCTAGTGGCTGAGGGGGAGTATAGTAGGCTGCCCTTTGCGGCGGCAGCAGCATGGATTTATACTATGTGAAAATAGTGGTGGGCCCATGGCCTCAGGAAGTGCTTTGGCATTGCACGTAATCCAGTATAGCTGCAGGTTCCTGCTGTGCCAGGCACTCCTTGTCCTCCCTGCTCCCCGTGCCATGCCACTTCAGCCTAATGCTTTCCTTACACTTGGTTAGTGATCCACCAGCTGTGGGATAAAGAGATACAGTAAGGTCATCTGTTTATCTCTTTGGGTTAGCTAATCCAATAGAAAAATTTGGGAAAAAAAGAATTATTTCAAAGCAGCGTGACCTGGTAGGAGCAAACAGTCAGGAGCATAAGGCTGGGGAAGAGACAGCATGTTTTTTCTGACAGAAGCTCGGGGCTTCACAGGGTTGGGTATAACAAACTGCACCCTGAGACAGAAGGAAGAGGGGGGGGAAAAAAGGCTTGCTGAAATTTCAGAGTCCCTCTCAAGAGGGAGGGCCCATGCCTTTGTTCTGGGAGCACCATTTACACCAGTGTTACTCAAGCTATTCAAGGGTCCAGGGAGAAGGGGGAAGCAATGACATACAAGCCTTGAAACAATCACAGGGTATTTTGGAAGGAGGAAAGGGAGGGAATCCACATTATAACAACAGACACAGAAATCTTTTTTTAGTATTAATCAAGACAAATAACTGACACCGTGCAGACAGTTAAAAAATAATGCCAGTTTCAGTAGGAACTGGAGACAGCCTATAAAACTGAAATTGCAAGAGAGTTAAGTCAATGTGTAATAAAGCTAATGGAATTCTAATCAACACTTGCTTCTTAGTTTTAGATGTTAATAATAATAAAGTGATTTTTTTTTTTTTTTTACTCCAACAGTTCTGCTACAGAGAGAGATGAGTGGTTAGAAGCTATCTCCAAGTCAATTGAAGACTATACAAAAAAGAGAATCACATTTAATCCTAGCAAAAGTCTTGAAGAGGTATATCACACCATTATTGTTGGTTTGTTCCCTTTCTGAAAATAAAGTTTATTTGCAGGTGTTTAGAGAAACAAGAGGCATTCCATGATGAATAATAAAACAGGATGGTAAATGATAAGTGAACAGATGATAGAACAGAATCATATTTCATAATGTTATCTACTTCATAAATTTAAAATTATTTTCTTCCAAAAAACCGAAACCAGCTTTCTCAATTCTCTCGGTAATCTTGCGAACAGAAAGATGAAATGAAAAGATTTTAAAATATAGCAGCTATTGATATAAATAGGCTGGTAAAGCTTGAAAGGCACACAGCCTTTTTGAACTAATTAAATCCAGCTCTGTCTGCAGGCTTGCATTATAATGGTCACTGATGAAATAGTAGATAACATTTAAGACCATGACAATTTCTCAGAGGCGGCTTTCCAACACCATTAGAGTTAACCTATAATCACTGATAAATATTAATCTTATTTTTTCATCACTGAATGTAACGGTATTCTGCCTGTGTTCTCTCAGGCAGATCCAGAAAAACAGGAAGAAGATAGTCCGCTGGGATCAAAGGCTCCGATCTGGATCCCTGATACTAGAGCCACTATGTGTATGATCTGTACAAGTGAATTCACATTAACGTGGAGAAGGCATCACTGCAGGGCATGCGGAAAGGTTGGGCAACTTTGTAATTACCTTTTCAGTTAAGTCATTCAGGTTCCTTGTGTGACAAATCCAGACGGAGCCTGATCGCACCTAAACGATTCTTTCAAGGGAACACTGTATTATGACGCAAGTATATGGATTAAAAACAACATGTTGGGTTGTTTGTTTGTGGTTTGGGGTTTTTTTTGAGAGTAAGGTGTTATGACAGACCGGTGTTCAACCTTTTAACCTGTTACATGTTTCTTATTTTGCATTTTGGAGTACTGTTTATGGTTGTCTTCTGCTTCTGCAATTACGTAGTACAAACGAAGAATGTTAGTTGAAATGAGAAGAATATCTTCCTCGCTAATTTTCGTAAGAAAAATAATGATTTTGTTTTTAAGTTAGTACCAAACTTACTTTATATTTAACATTTATGAAAGGTATATCTAATAAACCTTTATTTTTCTTGTTTTAATTAAGTGAGAATACAGAATTCAATGCAGTTGAGACATCTGTGTTGTGGAGAAATAGTCAAGAGAGCAATGACTATTTTTAGTTATTTCTTTAAAAGCTTATGATTTAAACAGTTCAGTAACACAGTAGGCTTATTCTACTTTTCATGGATTGTTAACACTGGCTTATTGACTTGTGTAATTCAGTGATTTTTTTTCTGTTTAAATTTTTATCATTTAGAGGAGGAAAGAGCAGCATGTTGAACATAAGGACGTAAGGAAAAGCCAACATCTTAAACCATTTTCAATGTAAAATACTGCCTATTTCAGGATCTGTTATGGGATTAACAGCACTGAAGTGAACATCTTTGAGCATTTGGTGATTTACAGGTGCACATCATGTACAATAATGCTTTTATCTGTTTCCAGATTGTCTGTCAAGCTTGTTCATCAAATAAACATGGTTTAGACTATATGAAAAACCAACCAGCAAGAGTATGTGATCATTGCTTCAGGGAGCTACAGAAACAAGGTAAAGAAAATCTGCACAAACTGTCTGTCTTATTTTTGTGGCCCTTATTAACGTGGTATGTCTGTGCCTCATCTTTACTGCTGGGTTCAAGTGCCGAACTCTGCTAGATCCTGAAAAGCGATAGGCATAGAATCATAGAATCATTTAGGCTGGAAAGGACCTTTAAGATCATCAAGTCCAACCGTTAACCTAGCACTGCCAAGTCCACCACTAAACCATGCCCCTAAGCACCACACGTCTTTTAAATACCTCTAGGGATGGTGACTCCACCACTTCCTTGGGCAGCCTGTTCCAATGCTTGACAACCCTTTCGATGAAGAAATTTTTCCTAATACCCAATCTAAAGGCATCTGAGGTTATAAGAGCCCAGACAAGTTTCTGTGGAGTAAGTTAGGAAGTGAATTTGCAATACATTGGCTCTTCCTTCCAGAAACATGCATGCATTTGCCCTATGGTAATGACATGTAGCTTATGCTGCTTTCTTTTTGAGATAACTAGTGTTACATGGCTTTTCATTAATCACAGGGTACAAGTGTACCTTAAAGTTCTTGCAGTTAATCATGAGCTCCCAGTGGGTTCATGTGCACTTTTACTCTCTGTAACTTGCATGCCTGTAAACTTCATTTTTGCCAGTTAAGCTGCTGAGATAGCTGAAGTTCTGGGGCTCTATAAAGACATAGGCCTTCATCTTACTGAAGCTGAGTCTCTTCAGCTTCAAGCCTTGGCTCATCTGGAGTTCAAGAAGCTGGCATATCTGCACCTCAGTTCTGAGGGCAAACTCTTAACGGTTGCCTGCGGCTCACTGGCAACGTGGATTTCAATGTAAAACACCATCGCTAGAGCTATTTTCGTGGAAACACTTTCAGAGAACGTGGTACTGCTGATGCGTGGTGGTAATAACATTTGCTTAGAGAGGAGGTCAGTTTCCTTCTCATCCTGAGGGAACTCAAATCCATCTCTTTGAAGGGGCTTCATTATCATTATGCAGAAATAAATGTAAAATCAATGGGGGCACTGCCCAGTGAGGTGAGAATCCAGTCCCATCTCACAAGACTTGCTCTGAATTCTGTCCAAAGACTCCAGTATAAAATACATAAATGAGCCATAAGCAGGGACTGAAACAGCTTGCTGCCCTTCCATCTGGCAGAGGCTCCAGTTTAACACAAGCTCTCTAGGGTATCGGGAAATCTGTGATGCCCCAGTGAAATAATCAAGCTATGGCTTCCAGCATGCTGGAAGTGGCATTTGTCACGGGGATGTGGAAAGCATCATTGACAACCCTTGAAGTGGTGGTGGTGGGAGCCTGCAGTGTTGGGAAGATGGATTGCCTGGTCCACCTGCAGGTCTCTGCATTGGGCACTAGAGGCTGCTGTGCTGCAGGCGATTGCAGGTGCTTTTAGCTGAGAAAAGAGCTGCAGAGCAGGTGCGGCAATCCAGTTACTCTACTGCTCTGCTCATTATTTCAGAGCCTCACCATGTTCAGGGACAACTCTAGAAGGGGAGTTAATGAAGCTTAGGGCAGCCCTACTCCTTCCAGGCTGGGCTGGAAAACAGTGGTGGGTGTTGCTAGGAAAAGGGGTTTTAAAGGAGGTAAGTGTTGCAGAAGTCTTCCAAGAGAGGTGAAGGAACTGCTTGCGGCAGTGGAGAAAGATCATACGTGCTCTGGAGATGGGAATCTCCAGAAGTGTGTGTGATGGCATGGTGCTGGAAGAGGAGCCCTACAGCATCCATACTGAAAAGAGCTGAGAAAAGATAACAGATGTATAGAATTGAAGGACAGAGTTGGGGAACAGAGGTAAAGCACAGACTGAACTGCAGAGGACAGCTCTAAAAATTTGGTGTGGTTTTTAAGACTTAATTTTCACCCTGCTTATGGTCAAAGGTAGTTCAGCATCAAGAAAACAGACTTTGAAAACAAACAAGACCAATCTGTTTAGTGGGGGTTTTTTCAGTCTGATTGTGATTTGGGGGATTCTAACTCATGGTGTGGATGATAATACTAAAAAGTTAATTCAACGCTGAGTTTAGTGTGATTAGGTGTTACTATTGAAACACTGTAATCATAATAAAAATGTCAGCTGTTTCTAAAAAAAAAAAAAGTCCAAGAATCATTGCCTGTGTTTAGTCATCTGTGACATGAAAGCAATATATTCATCCTCTGCATTCTAGATAACCAGTGCACTCCTAAGAGTGGATCCCCAGTCAACCATAAATCTCCATCAAGTGCCTTGTCTACGGTATTACATAGTATTCCCTCTGGAAGAAAGCAGAAAAAAATTCCTGCAGCCCTCAAAGAAGTAAGTGCTTTATTGGTCAAAAGTAATGACTTGTTGGTATTATATCATCAATACTAACAATGGAAAAAAATAATTCCATATTTTAGCCATCTTCTCTAGATTCAAAAGTTGAAATTTGCCTATAACAGTGGTTTGGGCCTTAGTTTTATGTAGGAAGGGACCTGAACTATGAAGCAGTGTATAAACTGCATAAACACCTGTGAGACTGTGATTCAGAGACATAGTCAGAATTGTAATTTCTCTCTTGCTTCCCTGTGTTTCAAGGAGTTGTGATTTACCTCTGCACCAACAGTCAATGAGAAGACTCCTACACCAACTCAGCCCTTGGCTTATGATTAGGAAAGGTAGAGCTAATCTCTGCCTACCTACACCGGAGGTCTTGGGAATGGGAGGAAGTAATTTTTCTTCTTGTATAGGAATGTGTGTTCTCCAGCTGTACGTGGTCCTCAGTGTTTTCAGCCCTCTCTTGTCCTGTTGCATCCAATTTAAGTTCCAGCCCTTAGTGACTGCAGAAACCTCTCTTCCAGCCCAGATAGATGGTGGCAGACAAAATCGTTTTTCTTTCAGCTGTCTGAGTAAATTAGCAACATTAACTTGAGATCAGGTAAGAATTTGAGTCATTGACAGGACAGGGCTCTGGAGATCTGCTTTAAAAAAAGCTGTACTGCAAAAACCTGGACAGATGCATACATACTCTTGGGGTTTGTTTGTTGTTTGTTTGTTTGTTTGTCTCTTCAGGTTTCAGCAAATACAGAAGACTCTACAATGAGTGGCTACCTACACAGATCTAAGGGCAGTAAGAAACCATGGAAACACCTATGGTTTGTTATAAAAAATAAGGTGCTATACACATATGCTGCTAGTGAGGTAAGAGACTACATATTAGAAATCAAATATCCAATGATAATACTGTCTTTGTTACAAAGTTGTTTATTTTTATGATCTAGAAACAAGCTATAAAATTAGATCACCTTACAGTAATTGATCTGATTGCGAGGTAGTACTTTGAAAAGGCCCAGTGAGCTTGGCACCATAATACGCTGATACAGCTACGCTGTTTCTGATTCCAGACCTAGCTTTGAGTACCTCTGCACTGCACACCATTGCACAGTTGTAGGTATGTTCTGAGTCAGTTGAATACATGGGGGTCTGTTTGGATGCATCACACTGGACTAGTGGCAAAGCCAACATTATAAAAGCATCTTGAAGTATCTTGTTCTGCAGTTCCATAAGGTATTTTGAATGCTTGGAAAATGAGCAAACTAAATCTCTTTACTTCTCCTCAAACTGTCATCTTCAGCCTGGAGTTGTTATTTAATATACAGTGCTGCAGTAGAAAAAAAGAAATGCATCTTATCTAATGGCATTTGCTTTTTTATTTAGAATATGTAGTCCTATTGCAGTGTGGAATAATCGCTAACCAATATATAAGCTCTGCACATCCCAGCATGTGCCGAGCATGTAGTTTTATTGCATCTTACAATGTTTTGCAACATTTTGATAGAAGAAGTCCTTACCAGGCAGAACGATGAGACTATACAGTCTGATACTTTCTATACTTGAAAGACAAGGTAGATGTTATCAGGAAAGTAAAAAGAGGAACAGCAGTGTTGAAGTCTATGAGGTTTTGTTATTTCCTGTCCCCTGATTCATGCATGGAGACTATAAAAAGCAGCATTTTGTGCATGACTATTAGTAACAACTTGTTTGTTGTATAATCTGTTGCAATGGTATGGTGCATGAGTAAAGCCTAAATGCACTCCTTAGTATGTCTTAGAAGCTCTAATTTTGTCTTGTTTGCTTTTTTCCCCCCGTAAAATAGGATGTGGCAGCGCTAGAGAGCCAGCCTTTACTTGGATTCACAGTCAGTGAAGTAAAAGATGAAAACTCAGAGTCTAGAGTGTTCCATTTACTGCACAAAAACACTTTATTTTACATATTCAAAGCAGATGATCCCCATTCAGCTCAAAAGTAAGAAACTATTTGAATTAATTTCTGCTACGTTTTTCTACAAAATGTTTCAGAAGTCATGAATGTTAATATTCAGAGATTAAGCATATGTACAAAAGATGCATATATAATACGTAAATAAAACTTTTAAATTACTTAAACACAAGGTCCTGGTTCCATTAGGACTTCTGAAATGCTTTAAATGAAGAAGCAGACTGTCCTCTGCAAAAGAATGAATGTAGGAGAATGGAAAAGTCTAAGATAAAATAAGAAATCTTTCTTTTTCCTAGCCTATTCCTTTATCCCTAGTTTGCTGAAGTGAAAATTGAATGTTACCTTTGGAGAAATCCAGAAAATGTGTTTTAAGAATTAAGTGATGTGTCCCTTTTTTATTTCAAGCTGTAAATTTTAGTTATTTTAATGAATATATGGCAGTGAAAAATAAAGCAAACTCTAAAAAGTAAGGGACAGAAGTTTGAAGTGTGTGTGCAGATGTGCATGAGCACCTAGGCACACTTAATAAGTTCAGACCAAAAGCTTGAATTCAAAGAACACTCACACAAGCTGTTTCATATCAAGTCCTGCTGATGTGTCTGTGTTCGGAGTCATATTTATCAGTTTATGTATTGTGTGTGTTTTATATAAAATAACCTAGAAGCTTCGTCATTAATCAGTAGAAAACATTTGCTATATGAATCATGGATTAAACTGGAAAGGAGTATGGAAGCAGTACATTTAATTTGTCTTGCCTATATGCCTAGCTTATCTGACTGGTTTCACTGTAGTTTTCCCAAATGAATTTTACATTAATAAAATAGATTTCATGCGCTAACTGGTCCATTATTAATACTTAAGCATTCAAATGGCTGCAGGTATAGTCTTGTGCAAACAGGGATATTCTAAAAAACAAAGTATCCAGGATAACTGAAAATTTTGAACAGCTGAGAACGTGCTTAATGACACTTCTCTACACACAAAATCTGGAAGTCTTTATTTGATTTTTGGGGGTATTTTGTCTTGCAGATGCACACAAATGTTTCCTTGTTAATTAAGATACAATTCTCTTGTTTCCACTGTGTCTCATTTGTACTATCTAAAACAAAACTAAAAAAAATCCAAGGCATTCAATAGCTTTGTTTTCCTATTCAGACAGTGGCTTTTGTCCTCAGTAGGAAAACTTGAAATTGGACATACTCTATTTTACTGAGGCTAGGAATAACATTAAGTACCTTAAATCGCAACCTTTCTCCAAGTATTTAATATCCTTAGGAGATTTATGCTGAACCTCCAGAATAAATGCTGCTTTGATAGCATTAAAAAAAAAAAACCACAGAGAACATGCTGTTGTTTGTATCAGTGGACACTATTTTTTCCTGTTAGGGCCAAAGAAATATCTGATGTATTTGTGTAAGTACAGTAATAAAGTCTAACAGATGTTTACTTTTTGATGAGCTTTTAAATTTTAGTCCAGTACTATGTTCAGTGCTGAAGCTGTTTATGAATTTGTTGTATTTGTATTCCATTTTAGCTATTTTTAATGAATATATGGCAGTGGAAAATACAGTGAGCCCTAAAAAGTAAGGGATAGACGTTTGAGTTGTGTGTGCAGACAGGCATGAGCACTTACACATGCTTAATATGTTCATACCAAAAGCTTGAATTCAAAGAATATTGCACACAGTTCAAAGTTAAACACTCAGGGCAAGGAAGAGCCAACATCTGTGACTAATGTTTAGATACCCTGTGAATATTACGACAGGTTTGAATTTCCATGATAAAGATAATTTTACAGTTTTTGTCTCGTTCAGTTCTTGCAAGATTTTTCACTCGGGGAAAAAAAATCATGTGGGCCCCTTAACTTTGCATGCACACAGTTCAGCCCTCACTTGGAAGACAGAATTATTCCATTTTTTACTGTATTTGTCAGTGTAGCATCAGAGTGCTTCAGAAACATTAATTTTTGCAGCATCCTTGAGAAGGTGAGGATGTTTATCACCCTCATAATCAAGTAGGAACAGAAACCACAGCTATAGGGGGTAAAAGTATCTGAATGTTAACTTTGAATTTCCAGTTTGAGATACCTTGGATCAGCTGTTTGGGACTTCCCTGCCTTTACATAGCCTTGTATTTTCACGTATATAATGTGCAGGGTATCTGTTAATGTGTGATTCAGTAGTAGCACGTACTCTGTGTGTGAATACGGGGAAGTTCTGTCATCATGCAAAGGCACCATTCCTCCACCCCAGCCCACGTGCCCTGTGGCTTCCTCCCTCAGCCCCACTAGTCCTTCACTAATACCCTTGTACCAGCTGCAAAAGCAGAGGGCATGGGTTATGCAGATGGCTACCTCAGTTACAGTAGTGTCCTGATCCATCCCAGATCATGTTTGCAGCGAAATAAGGGGTTCTTTAAAAGGTATGCAGTCAAGTTATTAAAGTTAGCAGAACCTTGGCATATCCTACTTTTTGAGCATTTGATTCCCCAGCTTCGCTTGTTCTTTATGCGTGTAACTTCAGTATGGAAGAGGTACGGAAAAAAGTTTCTGTCATCTGGCCTTGTACTGATACCTAACACGTCTCTAGCAGGCTTTGTATGTTTGGACTCATTGGATAGATTTCTGGCATTTGCACTAACAGACCAACTGGTAATGGAAGTATGATGTAACTTCTTGTGCGAATCTGTAGCGACTCACAGCAGTGTGATTTATACTTTTACCAGCAACTTCCTAACAGTGTTTGATTTTCTAATAGGTGGATAGAAGCTTTTCAAGAAGGCACCATATTGTAGCAGTGTCAGCATCGTGTCTGCAAGTTTAAAGGCAAATGTCCAAGGATGGTGGTAAAACAGAGTACAGCAGCTGTTGAAAGCAATGGAATCCTGCCGTCTCAACCTACACAAAATTGTATATTTGTCAGGATTAGGAGTTGTTGCATTTTTAGCATAAGGTAATACTTTTTTAAAGAATTGTGTGTATTTCTGTGTTGATACAAAATGTGTTATTTATTAAATTCCAATGTTTACTTTAATGGTCAGAATTATTTGTGAGGTCTGCAATGAGGTCCGAAGTGCCCAAGTCGTTAGAATGGCAGGTGGTTGGTCAACATATTCATAAAGTTTGTGCTTTTTTAAAAGAACATAACACAAAACAAATCTGTTGCAATTGTACAGTTCCTCACAATTTGTGTATAGGTCTTGAGCTGCTGATGCTCACTTTGCAATTTAGCAAGAACAGATCAGAATAGGAATTTCAAAGGTTTTGGATCTTTGTTGGCTATGTAAACTCCTTCGAGAAGTTGTATAATATTGCTGCTCCTTTCCTTGAATGGCAGTTGAAATCTTGCATACCAGTACATTAAAACAGTACAATGAATTCTGTATCACAGAAGCAATTGTAAAGTACAGTTCAATTATTAAAAAAGACAAAAGGGAAAAATATTTTAAAACAGACTTTGCAATTACAGAGATAAGGCACTAGAGCTTTTACAGTACTACAGATGCCAAAGAGACTAAATGAGTCACCTTCAAACAATTGCAGGATGTATTTTCTTTTATGTTTCCAGGAGTAATTTAAAGCAGACTAAAAAATACATTTTTTTATATACCGGGAAAAGACAAAATATCTTATTTCTTTCAAAACTTTGTGTCAAATGAGTTCTGTATGCAGTACGAAACACTGTATAAACTATTGTTCAAAGAACGTTAAACAAATATATGCACCCCCCTCTCCCAAAATTTTAAACTATTGTATATTTAAATACTATGTTTAAACTGGAATTGCCATACCAAGAAAACCCGGCTTTTTTAGTGCAGATGGCATTGAAATGTATACCATTCTTTGAAATACCTTTTGTTTACACTATGATTTGTTCTGTTCGACACTTTAAAACACAATTCAGTTTTAGGTGTTTTTTTAGGTTTTTGGGTTTTTTTTTTTTTTAAGAAAATTGTCAGTATACCTCATTAGGAAATACTTACTGATGATTCTGGTGCATTTATTCTATTTAACTTTTGAAAATTTTTTAACACTGTAATAGCATAAATGGAACTAGAACTATGAAAAACATATGAAAAGAAGCCATTTTTATGTCAAATGCGATGCATATGTAGCCAGTTAATTTTACTGTATGAAACACTTCTCAGTAGTCCTCTGAATCAAGGTAGTTGTGGTAACAGAATTAAGAGCAATTCACTTTTAATTAATAGTTTGAATCCATGTTAATAGCTATTCTGTGGCCTCACATAGGAAAGAGAATAGTTGATAGAATAGTCAGTAGTCATCACGGAAAGGCCAAGAATGAAAATGCAAACCAAAATTCTCTTATTCCCTCAAATACCTCAAGATCAGGTCTAAGATACTAACATAGCTCTGAAGAAGCTTGATTTTCCGGAGCTGCGGTTAAGTTAGTAGGGGGCTTGGAAGCCTAGTGCTTAGTATTAAGTATATAAGTAATTTCATTGACTTCAAGCATTTCAGTAGAGTACCTTTCTGCATCAGGGACTTAAGGCTGTAGATCTGGCTTCCCTCATGAACACTCGAGATTTAACCACATAGTGTTTGAAAGTGTCTGATGAAAGCCTTTATTCTCTTCTATTTTCATACAAACGTGATAAATGAATAGTTTTCTCTTGTTATATATAAAGGGCTTTTACTTAATTTTCAAAAACAGCTGCTGACTGAAACCATGTAAGCTATTAGCATGTCTCTTCAGGGTGATTTCTGACATGGCTTTTACTGTATCCAAAACAAAACTGATACCAATATAACATAGATGTGATGTGGCTCTTCCAGTTGATATTATCAAAGGGAAGAGCTTCTTAATATTTTTATAGGGACTGCACACCAACTAAGACAGAAAGCCATGAACCGGCAAATGAATCGGAAATTTGGCTAGGAGCAAGCTGATTTAATTTCAATTTATGGTTTGATATTGATCTCCCTGCTGCAAAACAGAGCAATAAAAGTCAAAACACATACTGAATAAGGTGCCCAAGTTCTGCCTCATGTGTGGTGTCAAACTACCTCTCAAGGATTTGGTGCAGAGTGAGAAAATAGTTCAGTGTTCTGTAAAAATCAGAGGACTTCTTCCAGAAGCAGTTGATCAATTAAAAAAATCTTTCTGTGACAGAAATAGATTAGAACGGAGCCTTAACAACAATAGTACACATATTGCAGTCTAATTCTGTGTGAAATAAATTGTCTTTGTAAACATGTTTGAATATTTCTTTTCCTCTTTCTCCAGCACTAGTGCTTTGTGTCATACGAAGAACCCACAACATAGGCATTTTCGTAACATTTTCAGGTGGTTGCTTTTCAAACTTAACCTATTTCTCCAGCTCGCCTTCCATTTTGATTCATTACCATCAAAAGTAAAGTATTTACTTCTTGATTTGACTAAACACTAAAACAAGACCAGAAGTTTTTCAACACCTGGCTACCTCCTTTTATAAGAATCTATAGTTAATAATTAATTTAAAATTGGTTAGTAGAGTATGAGACAAACATTAGCATTGAATATTAGTTCTAGCATCTTTATTCTTGAATAAATGAAAGGTTCTAGGATCCTGAATTCTCTTTAACTTAAAACTATTTTTTGTGCCCAAAGGACTTAAAAGAAATGGATAGCTGAGCAGCTGTGGAACACGTTTTACTAAATATTTTTTGTGTGTGGAAATGTGATTACTCAATTATGTATATTACATCGTAACATAGAGATGTTTGGAAAGACACATTCAATGCATTTGTTTGCCATAACTGCTGTCCCCTGTATTTACCATCCAGATAGGCTTTTGTTTGGAGCAGTCCTAAATTGTACTGTCTAAATGAAAGAATAGAATCTTTATTTTGTAAATGAAAACAGTTTAAAGTTGTTGTAAATATTTCTGTGGATATGTATCATTTTTGTATAAATAAATTCACATTAGTTGAGCCTGCATCGTTTTTTTTTTTTAATACTTTCAGGTTTTTATTTATTATGTAATTCGTGTATTCATTGATTTTTTTCAAACAGCAAAATTTGTTGTCATTATCCTGCACATCAGTCTTGCTTTAAAATTCGTGCTATGTTTTGCCCTTACGAACAGAAAACAGCCTGAAAAGGTAGGCTGTGTGCACAGACTTGACACTGCTGCTGCATCTGACCACCTGAAACATTAGTTTTAAGTGAATTATCTTGCTCATGTCAGCCAAGACACTGCACTCTCACTACCAAAACTCAGCTGTCTTTGCTACAAAAATTATTTCCATCTTGCTGCCCTCCTGTCTTTCCTTAGCTGCCTCTTGCTGTCTAGTTCTTCACTTTCTGTTCCTTCCTCCTCAGCCCCCCAACTAAAAGCCCATGCCTTCATGAGTTCATGATGTTTGTTTTCTACAGAGCCCCTCCACAACCAGGCGCAGAGCCGGTGCTGGAATGCAGCTTGCAGACATAACGTGACAATCCAGAAAAATTGCTCCTAAGTAGTCCCACCTGTAGGACACCAAGCAGTGGGGTTTTATCTCCTGAAGCCACCTCCCAGCGCTGGGGCATGACAGCCCTTCCGAGCTCCATCAGCACAGGAATGAACTAGGCTCCCTATGCCAATGTGCTACAATGCAGCATGATTTATAGGTCTATAAGCAGAAACTCTAGCTGCAGCAACAGCTGACTAGGATACATTAACCCACGGAGAAAGCACTTCATTAATGCAATATTCTTGAACACTTATCAGTGGAGGTAAGACAGTTCTGGAACATAGGATGCAGGATGAGAGGGCCATTCTCTCAGTCTCCTGGTGAATAGACGTACCCATGGCAAAGGAAGCATCCTAAGAAACCATCATTCTAAAGAATTAAGGGAGTTATGTCTATGTGAAGGCCAAATGAAGGGCGTTACATTCATAAATCCTTTTGCAAAATCCAGTTCTGCTGTATCTATTAAAGCATGCCTGAATCACAGTTTCTGTTGGCGTAAGTATTTTAGCAGGGCCTGTAAGGGAGAGGTTTTTCTGTCGGGTTAATTATGCTGTCTCCTTGTACTTCTCTGACAGATGTTTGAAAGCAGTTTTTTTGATAACTTGCAGTAACAGCATAAAGGGTTTTGCTTCTCTGCATGTTTTTGATAGGGATGTGTCTCTTGTAATCCTGGCTGACACAGCTACATGGACGTGCCTTTGTTATACAGACCAAGTATGAACTGGGTCACTTGCTAAGGAAAAAAATCAAAACGTTTTATTGGTTACAGTGACATTCTTGCTCTATTGAGGATATCAGAATACTTGTCTGAAATAAGCCTCGGTGCAAATTCCTTAGTATTTGTTGAAATAAACTGCAATAAGCTCCTTCATTTAGAAAACGCGTGTGCAGCTCAGGCTCGTTTGGGAAGTGACAAGTACTGTAAATTGAGAGTGTAACATTTGACACTTTCAGGAAATGCTTAGCAAGTTAATTGCTCCAATTTAAAAAATTTTCCTAAGGTTCACCTGCATTTGGCTTTTGGGAACGTGTTTGATCAGAAAGCAAAATACGATGCTTGCAAGTACTGACTGAACTAGTGATCTTGAGCTAGGGTAGCTAGATGCAAGTGCAGCTGTGGGACCGGGGGTGGGAAAAAAAGCAGTAAAGGAATTGGCAAGATAAGAGCGTGAATGGTTTTATTAATGTCAACACATAAATTGCTTGTATTTTTTTTTTCTTTCATATCTCTGCTTCTCAGATGTTGATGCTTATGTCATCTGATTCAGTAGAAATTACATAAAATGGTCTAAATGAATTTCAGGTAATGAAATTGTGCATACAGCCCCGGTGGCCTAAATGATCTTGTAAGTTCCTGCTGATCTCCAACCACAGCTATACAGTCTTTGTTGAACAGATGGAAGAGGAGGGGAAAAAGGGACATATTTAAAGTATAAAACTTATTTAAATAACTCGCAGCGCGATGAAGCGGTTTCTGTCTTCATCACGTCGCACATTTCAAACCAAATCTGCAAGTCTCATCTACGTATTTGCCTCGGTGGGAAGACCCCACCAAGCTACCCAAAGCCAAAAGCCAACGCTACGCGCCTGTGGTGTTGAAAGCTGACACGCTCCCGTTTCCCTGCGGAGAACTGCAGTGGAGACTCGAGTTCTCCTCTTGACGGGCACGGTAATGCCCGCAGGCCCGTTAGAACCACTCGGGGCAGAGCCATGCTTCCCCGTCTGTGAGGGAGCTTCGCCTCCGGCGCCTCCTCTCGAGGACCGCTTTGCTCAGGGCCCTGCCCGCTGCCACCTGCCCACGGAACCTCGGCTCTCGGTGCTCCCCACGCCACCCCCTGCCCCGCGGTCTACGCCCGGCGGCGGCAGTGCCCGCCAGCGGGGACAAAGGGTCG